GAAGGGGAGGAAAGGGGAGGAGAGGGTGGAAGAGGATGGTGCACGGACCAGCGGAGCATACGTCGAAACCATTGTGTAAGGCGAGTTACATGTATTGGATGTCGACGCTGGCGAGCTCGAATGTAACAAGTCCATCCACGGGCCAGTGTTGACGGAGCATGACCACGCGAGAGCAAACGGCGGACAAGCATGGTTGCTGCCGTTTTGAAATCACGCCAATTGTCACAGATCTGCTCAAACCGCGGAAGCTGGCCAGTGAACACACCTGCAGGCTGATGAGATGGAATGGTCGACCTTGCACTAGGATATCGTATAACAGGAAAATCCCATGCAACGGTCTTATCAAACACACTCAATCTGAGAGATCCGTCTGCTCGTGTCTGCAGTTTCGCACCTAAGAAGGTGCACGAGCCATCTGCCGCAGTGGTCTCCTTCCATTCAAGACCATAATGGGCTGATGATGGTGGCAGACAATCAAAGGTAAGAACATCATCAATGAACCGATATGTAAAAGCATATCGGCGAGCAGCAGAGGGATCCACACGCTGCAGGTTGTCCATGTACTGCGCCTCATCCCAATAGAGTGTAAGATTGGCAATCTCAGGATATATACGATGTATACATGTACGTCAAGAAGCTTATAGCTCAATCTAAGGTAGTCTGGTACTTACTGCCACTTGTTTCCCCGGCGAGGCGGGGCGGCAGAGGTGGGTGAAGCTATTCTCGCTGCACAGTGAGGGGGTAGGAGGTCCTTCACAGTGGAACAAGTTGGAGATCCTGTGAGGTAGGGCGCCAGTACGATATCAGTAGATTGAAATAACGAGATGAACAGTTATGTAGAAATAGCTATTAGATTAGTTAGATAAATTAGATAGATAGATAGATAGGTTGTTAGTGAGTTAGTTAGTTAGTTAGGTAGGTAGGTAGGATAGGTAGATAGGTTGTTCGTTGGATAGTGAGAAGAGAGAGGCTCAGAGAGCTAGATAAACTCACAAGATGAGGGATTCGAACCCCCGACATGCGAATTGTGATTCCGCTGTTCTAAGCAGTGTACATAGAGTGAAATGCATAGATCGATATAAACAGTTATGTAGATACGCAAATCGATAGATAGATAGATAGATAGATAGATAGATAGATAGATAGATAGATGCATATGTGGGAGACAGCTACAAGGTAGCGGCAAGCACAACCGGCCACACACACACACACACACACACACTGGATGTGTAGAGTAGGTTTTATGCCTGTGACAGACTAGTTTGTCAGACTTCCCGCCATTCTTTCCAGGGGTTTAGAACGACAGTCTGCGACGATTGCAGGGTTCGCGTGAGTAAAGTCGACCATCTCTCTCTCTCTCTCTCTCTCTCTCTCTCTCTCTCTCTCTCTCTCTCTCTCTCTCTCTCTCTCTCTCTCTCTCTGTGGTGGGTATCGCTAACTCTGGGCGACGTGGTGAGTCCTTATCTGTCAGTCTCTTGCAGACCGTCAGGGTTCAACCTCCTGGTGGGTGAGTTGACGGAAGTCGACGAAACAGTCTGACACAGTGATGCTTTTTCTGTGGACTTGTGTATAGCTAGCATGACAAGCCACACACCCACCCACCCACCCACCCGCCCACACACCCACCCACCCACACACACACACACACGCGCACAAACACGCGCGCGCACACACAGAAAAACAAACACCCCTCTGATGAGAGTTTGAAAAATCTCTGACGAAACATTTTGGCAGAGTCATGCCTTTTTTTTTTGTAGAGTCTTTTTGAATACTTGCTGTAGTTGCTTGGAAGTGGCTGGACGTGCTACTGCTGCACATTGGTTGCACCGCAAACCTCTGCTGGGGTTTAGGGTTTTTTAGCATAACGGAGCGGATTCTCACCTCTCATTTTTCTGCTGAACCGCTTTCGCTCTTTTTCTTCCGACCATCAGAACGCTAAGCTCTACAACCAGTACCGTATATTATTATAATATTACATTAATAGCTTTATTAAATTATTAGTAAATTATTACGCCCTTGATCACATCTTCCGGGTTATCGACGTTTGGAACGACAGGACAGTCCAGAGATATGCAGTAATGCGGAAACCCAACCGGAGCAGAACTAAATGCAATTTTGAAAAGAAAGCATCACAAAAAGTTGGAATGCAATAGAACGCAAAGAGAGGGGGGAGACGGGTTTTCTTTTTCTTTTTCTTTTTCTTTTGGTTACGGTCTGTTAAATGTGATCATTCGTCGTCGTCGTCGTCCTCCTCGTCCTCTGGCTTCCTCCTTTTCATGTTCTCTTCTCATCTTTGCCTCCCTGCTTCAGTGTCGCCATCCTCCTTCTTTCACCGCCTGACCTCCTCCTCCTCCTCCTCCTCCTCCTCCTCCTCCTCCTCTTTCTCCTTCTCTTCCTCTTCCTCCTCCTCC